AACAAAGAGATCAGGTCTTGGTACTAGGCATAAGATGGCACAAAAAAACAATTCCTAGATGATGATTCATACACAGCAACCCAGGCTCCATCCGTAACTCCTTTTCCCCCTCCCCTTACTGTGCTCTTTTCATATAAGCAATCACCTGTACCTAAAGCTAAAAACACCAGCCTGAAGATGACGAATGTGACTTCGTCGAAACGTTGCCAAGACACTTCCAATTTTACGCGGGAGAAAACCCGAACAACCAAAGACCTATATATATATATATATATATATATATATATATATATATATATATATAGCATCTGATCAAGCAATTAACTATAAAATAATGATTACAAAATAACAAAACAATGATTACATGATAACACTATAATTATCAATATAAAATGGTTACTATATGTAAAATAAATGCTAATGTCAAACTTAAACATACTAAAATCATAAGCACAATAAAATCCCTTCAATACAGGAACCAATCTTAATGGATTCTTGGGAGATAATCTGGGTTAAAAATGTTAAATTTACTCAAGCACAAAATTTGAGGGAAAATTTTTATAAAATGTTTTATAGATGGCATTTGGATCCTAAAAAGTTATCTTGTATGTATCCGAATTTGCAACCCAAATGTTGGAGATGCGGTTCTTTTGGGTATTTTTGTGGATTTTGATGTTAAAGAAACTATTTTAATGCTGAATTTAATAACAGCAGCAAGACTATTGGTGGGTCAGTATTGGAAAAAAGATTCTCTGCCTTCTTTGGAAGAATGGGTATTCAAGGTTTCTAACTTTGCAGAAATGGCTAAAATTTCTGCTTACTTAAAGGACCATTCACAAAAGAGATATGTTTCTGTATGGAGAAGATGGATAGAATATATTCAGAAGAAATATGGAACAACAAAGTTTCATTTATTTTATGAATAATGGATTTTTATTAAATTATGAATTCATGTTTGCAGAGAGTTAAGGGTTATTAGGATTCCGGTTATTGTATAAGTAGTAAATTTAAGTTGACTATGTTTAATTTTCTTTTTTTTTCTTTTCTTCTTCTTTTTTTTGTAACCCTGTACTGAGCTCTGGGAAGTCGGTGGGGGGAGGGGAGAGTATGGGTAGTATGTTCAATAGTTCAGATTTTGGTGATAGAGGATTGCTCGGGCATTTTCCCTCAGACCGCATCCGACTGAGAAGAAGAGGAGAGGGATAAGTAAGTAGAAAGATGGAGGAGAGAGGGAGGGGAGGAGAGGAGGAGGTAGAAGGAAGGGGGAAGTGAAGAGATTAGAGGGGGATGCGGTCTGGGGGGAAATGGGTGAGCAATGTCGGAATTTGTGTGTTGTATTTTAACTTCTTATGTATCTGAATTTTTTTTCTTATGATTGTAATGAAAATAAAATAATAAAAATTAAAAAAAAAGCCTTGTACTTCTCAAATGTCAGTGGTATGAATGTAGTGGCTGTGATATATGTAGTGGCTTCAGGGTAACAGCTTTCCTGTATATTTCCACTTAAAAAGATATTCAGGATTCTAAAGATGCCCCCTGGAAATGGTTTCAGGTGGGCCATTATCTTGACAGTTAGTAATTGGCTTTGATAAGCTGCTAGTTTGGCTGACTCAGGTCAGGCCTCTATGTTGGCTGGCTTGTGTTTAGTGACCCTGTTCCAAAAGTACATTGTTAGGAAACCCATTATGAACACTGCACACACTCAGAAGAAGTGGCAGTTTTGCAGATTGATGGTGCGATGTTGTCACTTTAGGGAAAAGGATCCATGAATTATTGACATAATTGCTTGATTCTTGTTGCTTGATTCTCCAATGAGGCTGGTGCTATTTAATGGCATTCTTAAGGTCCTTCCAAGGGAAAGAGAAAACAATAAGAGTCTTCACCCTGGGCAGATGCAAATTTTCAAATGTTTAATAGGCAAGAACTGTATTTGTTTTTCTGAATTTATTTATAATGGAGTGTGGCAGGGGAAGAGCTTGTAAAAATAGTATAAACACAAAAGTTGTTTAATTTTTTTCAAAAAGCCTAACTACTAACTGCTGCAAGAGGCGAAGCTCTTAGCAAGTTTAAATCAAGCCAGCAGGCCCATCTACTTTGTGGAATGTGCCTAAGGAGGAAACCATCTCCACTGAGTAGGGTTTGCACCCAATGATCTGCAGGGTACCTCCCAATTCTATGACTCGCAGCTCATGCATGGCAAATTCTGCAACACAAATGACACCTTCTCCACCCAATTACATGTTAATTCTACATAAACCAGCATAAGCTATCTGAAGTGGGCATTGCAAGCACAGGGGATGTGAGATAGTGGTCATTCATGGCCCTGTAATCTCCCGGATTACTGAACATCACTGTACACAGGGGTATTCTTCAGGGGTACCCTTGAAGACTATGAAGACTAAGCTCGAACAGTTGCAAAATGTAGTAGCTCATGTGTTTGCAGTACACTTTCAATACTATAACACCTTTATTTTGGGAGCTATGTTGGTGACCAGTTTGTCTCTGAATGCAGTTCAAGGTTGAACTAGAAGATCTTCAAGGTCCTTCCATAATATTATTATTATCGATCATCGCACAGTCAGCCAGATGTTCAGAGTGGATTTGGCATTTTGTCTACCTATCGAGTCCTTACCCAGGACCTGGGATAGGCAGATGTGGATGTTTGATGGTATTACAGATATCGTCGCAGGATGGAAGCAGTTCCTAATAAGGCCGCCTTTTGCAATTGACTAATAGCGAATTTGTCAATGCCAATGGTGTTCAAGTGGTGCTCCAGTTGTTTTGGGATTGCACCCAAGGAGCCTATGACTATTGGTACTACCCTTGCTTGCTTTTGCCACAGTCTTTCTATTTCTATTTGTAGGTCTTTGTATTTTGTTATCTTCTCCAGTTCTTTCTCTTCTATTCTGCTATCTCCAGGCACTGCCACGTCCACTATCCAGACTTTTTTGTCTTTCTTATCGACAATTGTTAAGTCTGGGGTGTTATGTTGCAGGTGCTTGTCTGTTTGAATTCTGAAGTCCCAGAGCAGTTTAATTTTATCATTTTCTATGACTTTCTCTATTTTATGATCCCACCAGTTTTTGCTTACAGGCAAATGATATTTTTTGCAGATCTTCCAATGCACCATTGTTGCTACTTTGTCATGCCGCTGCTTGTAATCAGTCTGTGCAATCTTCTTGCAACAGCTTACCAAGTGGTCCACTGTTTCTTCAGCTTCTTTGCATAGGCGGCACTTACTGTCTGTTGCTGTCTTCTCAATTTTGACTTTGTATGCATTTGTCCTTAAGGCTTGGTCTTGTGCAGCCAGAATTAGTCCCTCGGTCTCTTTCTTCAATTTTCCTGCTCTTAGCCATTGCCAGGTTTTATTATTATCTGCTTTCCCAGCTATTTTTTCATGTATTGGCCATGTAGTGCTTTGTCTTCCCATGCCTCTATTCTGTTCTTCATTTGGTCTTTCTTGTAGGCCAGTTTGGTCTCTCCAGTAGTTAGTAAGCCTTCCTGATATACTAATTTCAGTGCATCTTCATCATTGTTCTTCAGATATTCTTCCAAAGCCATTTTTTTCTTCTTCAACCATCTGATGTACTTGTAGCATTCCACGCCCACCTATTTGCCTTGGTAGATAAAGTCTATCAATGTCACTGCGTGGATGAAGGGCATGATTCATTGTCATTATTTTTCTGGTCTGCCTATCCATTGCTTTTAGTTCTGCTTGAGTCCAGTCCACTATTCCAGCTGTGTACCTAATAACTGGGATTGCCCAGGTGTTGATTGCCTTTATGGTATTTCCTCCATTGAGTTTGGATTTTAAGATCTTCTTCACTCTCTTGATGTATTCACCTCTAATCTTTTTCTTGACTTCAGTGTGCTTGATGTTGTCAGCTTGAAGGATACCCAAGTATTTGTAGTACTCTTCCTCATCCAGACTCTTAATGTTATTTTCGTGGGGCATCTTGATTCCTTCAGTTTTCACTATTTTTCCTTGTTTGATAGTAAGTGTGGCACATTTGTCCAAGCCAAACTCCATTACAATATCTTGGCTATATATACGGACAGTGTTGAGCAGCGATTCTATTTCAGATGATGTTTTTCCATACAGCTTCAGATCATCCATATAAAGGAGGTGGGATAGTCTAGCAGATGTTTTTGATGTTTGATAGCCATGTCCTGAGTTATTCAGTATTGTTGACAGAGGAAACAGTGCAATAACAAATAGTAATGGTGATAATGAATCTCCTTGAAATATTCCTCTCTTGATATTAACCTCTCCCAGCTTCTCACCATTGATCTGCAACTGTGTCTTCCATTGTACCATCGATCTTTGCACAAATTTTCTGATGTTTCTACTGACTCCTGTTATTTCTAGGCACTTTATTATCCAATCATGTGGCAGAGAGTCAAATGCCTTTTTGTAGTCAATCCATGCCACATTCAGGTTGGTCTTCCTTCTCTTGCAGTTTTCCAAGATCATTTTGTCTATTAGGAGTTGATCTTTTGTTCCTCTGCTATTGGGGCGGTTTCCTTTCTGCTCAGGTGGAAAGAGATTGTTTTCAACTAGATGCTGTTGCACTGCATCAGCTACTACACCAGTTAGTAATTTGAAAGTTGTTGGTAGGCAAGTAATTGGCCTGTAGTTACCTGTTGTTGTTGTTGTTGTTGTTGTTATTATTATTATTATTATTATTATTATTATTATTTACTATACAGTTTAGGGCCTGATGTGTTTTGTGTTTCTGCTCATATCTCTGCTGAAGTTCCCCACTTACTGAGTAGCCCTGTGGGAAGAGGCCTAGCAGCAGGAGCTAGATCTGAGGCCCTTTGACCCTGGCTGATGGGAGTCTATAACCATGTTATTGAAAAAATAGTGCTAGTGAATATTTAGAAAGATAGGCAATTTAGAAATGTTGGAATCAATGCTAAATATTAAATATTAAGCAGCATTTCTTGCATTTGCTTGCTAAATACAAACAAGAATCTTTAAGTCAGGGATTGACTGAGTTCCATCTTTATAGCCAAATCTGACTAACTGTAGACTTTACAGTTTGACTGTTGGTTGATCTTTAAAGATTAATCAGCAGTCACCAATTTCTAAAGACCAATCAGCAGTCAGGGTACCTGATGTAGAGACAGGAACCCAGGCAGTTCCATGTCCAGTTTTCTGTGGTCTGCAAGCATGTCTACCTTGCTTCTGAAGATGCCAGCCACAGCTTGCATGTTTCCTGAAACAACAGGAAATCAGTAGTATAGGCCATGGTTACTAAATCCTAAAGCCCATCAAATACTGGCTGCGAAAGTATACATCAAGTATCTTTGTAAATTTCAGAAAGGCAGGAAACTCCTTCAGGGATTATGTAAAGAGAAAGCTGGGCAGCTTCTTGGAATTTTCTGAATCTTAAGTTAATCTAAGTGTCTGAGCTGAGCTTTTCAGGCAGCTATTTTTGTTGAGGAGAAATGCCTTCAGTGGAACCCCTCATTGTTGCTTTAGTTTTCTCCCCTTTCATCCATATATTCCCATAGGGGAAACAAAATGATTCTCTCGTTTTGTCTGGGGGATGGCCTCCTTTTGTGATCTCAGCCTTCCAGGGCTGAATTCCTATAGACCTATCTATAGGACCACTCATGATAGTGCCACTTAGCAGACTTGCAATGACAGTTGTTAAATTAATTCAAATGAATTAATAATGATTACCTAATTATTCACGAGTTTCATCGCACTTTAGAAGCCATTTCACAGTGATGCTGAGGGTTAATGACTTCACTTATTTTCTATTGTAAATCAGTTGAGGGGGAGAAGGAAAGAGTGGAAGGAAAACCCGGCCTGAAAGTGGGCACTGGGCTTTATACCACGATTAGCAAATCACACCAAATGGTGATTATAAATGGATCTTCAGTTCTGAACTTGTGTGGTAAAAAGTCTTCTCTGCAACATCCTCTTATTTTTTGTCAACCAAGCTGAGATGATCTCTTCATTGAGAAGATAAGGCAGTACCTATTTTTAATCCTAAACAGTAGCAGAATTAGCAGAAATGACATAAACGTAGACTGCAAACAGCACAAATAAAACTTGAGCAATAATTCAACATGTGTCTTTTGAGCAGGTTGACAACATGACCCTTTGACACCTCCAAGGAGGATAGGTGGGATGCCTGTAGCACCCGTTCTCACTGAACCCTGAGGAGTACCAAGAGACAGGAATCCTCCAGGTGACACCTGTGGGGGAATTTGCACACACAGCAAACTGCCATGCTTTCCCCCCCCCAAACCTCATAACCTTTTTTGGGGGGGGGACCAAACTGGCTGGTCGGGATTTTTTTTTTTTATTAAAAAGTTTTTATTTTCCATTTATTCATACAAAATACAATTAAATTCCTAACCATTGTTACTGCCTGCCCATTCCCCCCAGGCTGCGTCCACCCTCTCTAATCCTTCCCTACTTCCCTCCTCTTTCTCTCCTCCCCTCCTACTCTCTTCCCCTCCCCTTTTCTTCTAACCATCCTACTTCCTCCCTACTCCTTCCTCCCCTCTCATCCCTCTCACACACATGAAAGCAGCATAGGGGAAATGCCCAAGCATTTACCATGACTATATTATCATTACTCACCCACCCACCCATCCTCAACCCTCCCCCCCCTCGCTTCCCAGAGCAGAGTACAGGGTTATTAATAAGAAAGTTAACAATAATAAAAAGAAAAAAGAAAAAAAGAGAAAAAAACATCATACTTAACCTTTAACTCCCCTTAAATTAAGTCATATAAACAAATCTCTACAACAGTTATTAAAAAATTTACTCATAAAATAAATGAAACTTTATAGTCCCATATTTTTTCTGAATATAATCTATCCATCTTCTCCATACAATAATATATCTTTTTTGTGTATGATCCCTCAAATAAGCAGAAATTTTTGCCATTTCTGCAAAGTTAGAAACTTTAAATATCCATTCTTCTAAAGTAGGCAACGAGTCCTTCTTCCAATACGAGCCTACTAATAACCTTGCTGCAGTTAATAAATTCAACATTAAAGTAGTTTCTTTGTCATTTAAATCCACAAAGATACCCAATAAGAATAATTGAGGGGTGAACTTTATCTTCCTTTTAAAAATCTTTTGAATGTTCCACCAAATCATAATCCAAAAAGCCTTTACCTTTTTACAATTCCACCAACCATGAAAATATGTCGCATCCATATTACCACATCTCCAACATTTGGGTTGTAAATTTGGATACATACAAGATAATTTTTTAGGATCTAAATGCCATCTTTAAAACATTTTATAAAAATTTTCCCTCAAATTTTGAGCTTGTGTAAATCTAACATTTCTAATCCAAATTGTCTCCCATAAGTCCAATGGGATCGGATCCTGGATATTCTGAGCCCATTTAATCATACAGTCTTTACCAATTCTGTTTCAGAGTCTAATTCTATATTCTTTTTATATGGGCCTGACTCTGATCTTTAATCTGAATAACCAGATTTCCATCTTCTAGTGTTATTCCTTCTTTTTTATCTACAGTCCACCTGTCCACTATTTGTAAATACTGAAACCATGACTGTAGAATATTTTCTTGCCTTAATACATCTAGAGATTTTAAATGCCAATCCGAACCTGACCAAGTTAATAATTTTTTATACGAAATTTTATCAAAATTCATCCCCTTAGAAATCCCCTCAATTGCATGTCTAGGAATCCCCCAGATAGGTATTTTATAGTTTAACCTATAATAATACTTTTTCCAAACTCAAAATAAGACATTCCTCAAAATATGTGATTTGAAAGCCCAGTCCACTTTCTTATTAAAAATTAAATATGCATGCCAACCATACATTAAATCCCATCCTTCAAGAACAAGAATATCCTTATTTGTTAAATTAAGCCAATCACTTTTTCAAGTTAAGGCGGCTGCATCATAGTATAATTTCAAGTTAAATGCTTTAAGTCCTCCTCTTTCTCGGGCATCTTGCAAAATCTTAAACTTAACCCTTGGTTTTTTCCCAGCCCAAATGAATTTATTGATACCCTTCTGCCATTCCTCCAAATTTACATCTTTTTTTAAAATAGGTATCATCTGAAACAAGAAAAGAAACTTTGTTAGAACATTCATTTTTACAGCTGAAATTCTCCCCAACAATGACAATTGCAGTTTTTTCCAGTCATTTAAATCCTTTTGCACTTTTGCCCATATTAATTCATAATTATTTTTATACAATTTTCCATTTGAGGCAGTTAAATATACTCCCAGATATTTAACCTTTTTCACCATCTGAAAACCTGTGGCTTTACCCAAACTTTCCTTGTCATTGGCTGACATATTCTTAGATAATATCTTAGTCTTATGGTTATTGACTTTAAAACCAGAAACTTTTCCATACTGTGTTATAAGTTCTAATAGACAATCAACCACTCTAATCGGTTGTTCCAAAATCAAAACCAAATCATCCGCAAAAGCCCGTAATTTATACTCATTTTTTCTTATCTTTATACCCTTGATTACCGTTGATTCTCAAATCTGGATCAACAAAATCTCCAATGTCAAAACAAATAACAATGGAGATAATGGACATCCTTGTCTTGTCCCTTTTTCAATATTAAAAGTCTCAGTCAATTCCCCCATTAACAACAATATGAGCAGATTGTTGCTGATATATAGCTTTAAGTGCATGTAAAAAATTATCCCCAAAATTCATTTTCTCTACCAGTGAGAATAAGAATTGCCAATCTAATTGATCAAAGGCTTTTTCAGCATCCAAAAATATAAAAGCCACAGGAATCTGATTGTTCTTATCCAAATACTCAAGTAAGTTAATAATTTGTCTAACATTATATTTCATGTATCGCCCTGTTATGAATCCTGATTGATCACTGTGAATCAAATCCTTCATAACCTGCATTAATCTATTTGCCAAATTTTTTGTAAAAATCTTGTAATCTACATTTAATAATGATATCGGCCTATAATTCTTAGGCTCTGTAAGATCTTGATCCTCCTTCGGAATCAATGATATAAACGCTCTTTTCCAAGAAGGAGGAACTTGTGCTCCCAGCAAGATACTATTAAAAAGCTCCTTTGCTTCCGGTGGGAGGCGACGGCGATGGCGGCTAGCTTTTAGCCGTCCAGCTGGGGAAGTGTCAGAGCCGCGGAGCGCAGCGCGCATCAGCTGGCCCGCGGCTCGGAAATCCCTTCCCGGGCAAAGGGAAGGGATAGAGAACGCAAGAGTAGAGGTAGAACCCCTGAACCCCCTCTGGATTTATTTCTAGAGGGGGTGAAAGGAGTGTTCCCTCGGAGCTCTTGCTGATCTCCGCCTCCCAGCTGTTTTTGCTTCCTTGGAAGCAAAAGAAACCGCCGCTTCTATCTCCGTGTTTACAGCATTTTGGTGAGTAATTTTTAAACGGACGGAGCAGTTTAAAGGACTTTTTCTTATATTTTAGGTGTTTATTTTTTTATCTTTTGATTTTTACTATTTTTCCTCCTTTTCTTTGTTATACTAGTGAAAGGACTTAAGATGGCGTTTTGAAAGTGTCGGAGTTTTTTTTTCCTTTCTCTTTTGTTTTACTTTCCCTTTTTAAGGATTGTTTTTTGCTTTTGCTTTTGCTTTTGGCTTAGAATTTTTTTTTTGAATTGTTTGCTCTTTTATTACTTATTCTTGGGATTTATTCTGGACTTTTAATGATTATAGTTTGTCTCTTTTTAAAAATTCTTTTTTTCTTTTTTTCCTCCTCCCTTTTTGGCTGGAGGGGAAAGGGAAGTGACAATTGTGCTTTTTAAAATGGCTTCAAAGAGGCAGCAGCCTTCCTCAGTACCCAAGGTTATTTCTTCTCCTATAACTTCCACTGCACAGCTACAACAACAATCTAAACATGCACCACCGGCTCAGCCACCACCCTCCCCTCCTCTACCTGGACTTTCAGTGCAAGAGGTTAGAGGCATAATGGGAGAGATTGTAGTTCAAATGAGAGAGGAAATGACTCAATTTGTTTCACAGATTAAATCAGAAATTAAATCTGATCTCAAAGAAGAGATAACGGGGATAAAGTCTAAATTGCAAGAAAATAATAATGAATTACGACAAGATATA